TATTAAATAGTCTCATTCTTTTAGCACTCTTACAGTCTATACGCTTATGCCCAAACCTTCTACAAAAGTGACATCTTAAGTCGCCAACCTCCTTTTTATTTTCATTCCGTCGGGTAATGTTTGATTCAGAACTAGGATGCGATTCACGAGTATAGATACATAGATATCACGGGTAGACGGAAAATCATTTTTTGGTTTTATGTACATCGACAAAAATTGCACTAAATCGTTGGGTTGTAACTTTGCATTAGTAGCTGCAGCTTTAATATGAGGATATGTGATGCCCCTTAATACTATAGCGATAATCAGTTCGAGTCCCCTAACCAAACCCAACCTTAACAACGAACGTCTAGCGTAGCCGGCGTAAGTAGCATAACTTTTAGAATCTTTGGTCATCACTTCGTAAAGAATAGACGCAATATCGAGGCTTCGAGGACACAGCATTTTAAATTCTCGTTTGAAATTCGTCCACGAACGATCGGTGCTGGACCACTCGCTAAGCCACACACGTGCTTCTCCCTTCAAAAAATTACCGATTCGCGACAAACACTCGTTATCGTCCCATCCGTTAGTTTCTTTAGCCCTATCTACTTCTTCGCACCAAACGTCGATATTGTGAAAATGAGGATCAAAGTTAGAAATATAATAATTAATTAGACCTTACTTTAACTAACGAAGTGATGGCCTCCACGATTCTGCCAGTTGTGTCTCCGCCTGTGGCAATGCTTTCCCGTGATATCGAAACGGGTGCGTGAACTGCCGTCGAGTCGTCATCGCGTACGTCGTCGGTGGCTGCACCAATCATTAGCGCGGGCAGTACAGGGTGCGGTGCCTGCCCCGAAGATGTTGACGCGGCCTGTAAAAGTGGCTCGGACGGCGGTGGCGGCGAAGTAAAACGTTCCTCAAGCGTATTCAATCTAGCAAGGATTGCATTCAGCACATCCTTGTTCGACTCATGCTTGCGTTTACGAGAGCGAGATTGTTGTTCACAGACATTTTAAGATTTATAAACTGAACACTAAGTAAAAAGAAAACTACTAAAACGTTAAAATGTAATCACAACACTAATATTTAATTTTAATGTTAGTCAGGTGTTCCAAAAGCGGGTAGGCGACGAAGCACTATCCCACTTCTGATATTATCGACCAGAAGTAAAATTCAAAAATAAAAAAATGCACTCAAAGCAAAACTTGTTTATAAACTTCTTATTACATTTACAATCTCAATTATTAATTAGCAACTTAAGCAAATATCTAGTTCCTAGCACGTCCGCTCTCTCCGACCGTTCGAGCCAAAGTGCCGCTGCAACCGCAACCGGCTTTTACCCCACCATCTTGGTGACTCAACCGTAAGCCACGCCCTCTTTTAGTCATCATCTTGTAACAATATATTAACGTCATATATATACCAAACGTTACGATATTTATGATTTAAAGTCAGTTAAAATAATGCATTACCACATATTTTGAATTTAAGAGATAATAATGACAGAATGTTTGAGAATTTTTTTTTCAATAATTTTTATTCGCCATTTGCCTATATTACTTCTACTGAACCTTCTCTGCAAATTTGGCGAGTAATTGCAAAATAACCCTGTATTATACATCTTTAAATAATCTAATCTTTCATTTGGCTGGGCTGTACTTTTTAGACACCATACTCCCCAGAACTCAGACTTACATATAGTTTATTCTCTAGATCGTTACTAAGAAGACAAACAATTAACAAATTAAGACCACCTTAAAAGATCTCTTAGCACCTTCTTTAATCAAAACCCTAATCTTATTTTTTATTTATTTTTTAGTTTTATTTTAAGATACATATGTTTCATCACTTACTTAAGACCCTGTATGTTAAAACGCAAAGGCTGTGGCAGAATAGCAGGAGTAATGGGTTTCCCGTTACAACTGAGTCACTGACTGTTTTGTCAAATACAACTAATTATTTATATAATCTACTCCATGGAAGGCATTTTCTTGTAGAGAGGTGATACAAAATGGCGATTTTACGTATTTAAGAAATAATTTTAATTAGATTGGCTGATTTATATATTTTTAATTGAAATCTGACCTTGAGTCTTAAAATGGGCAAACTTAATGACTTGTGGCATTTTCCTGGCAACTCTGGGAGTGGGAATGTATGTAGAATTTTAAATAAAGATTTCACAAAGTTCTGATTGATAAATTTGGGTACTGTTTTTTTTTTTAATTTTCAGTCACCAATTAGTCACTTAATCTTGACATATGAATAACTCTGGTTCCGTTAGAGCAATATTTTTCAATCTTAAAATAGGAATCGCATCTTTAAAGCAGACGGTATTGGCGTTTTCGTGAAAAGGCTGCTAGCTTGAATTCAAGATAGAATCCTTTCAAAAAAGGGCCATGTCTACATCTATATTTTTAAGTCACAAATGATTTTTTTTGTCACTAATTGTCACAATAAATCTGGACATAATAAAATTTAGGATATCATTGGGGAGGATTCCAGCTTGAAGGACGCATTTTCTTTATGTTTTTCTTTAATATGTCAATGAACTTTTGAGATAATAAATCTGTAGTAATAAATTTCCATTTTTAACACACTTTTTTATTAGCTTGGCTTGTATCTATCTATGTAACAAATTGTTTTAATGTCACCAACTTGTAGACAACTGATTGACTTGAAAACTTGCATTCGTATCAAGGGCTAATGGCAATACAATAATTTAATCACTTTATCCTATTCACTATAACCAGGATAAAGTAATTACAATGCTTTATACTAGCTTGACCTATATGAATGTACGAGGGTGGATTGAAAAGTACTCGGCCTAACCAAGAAAATAAACACATACTAAATCAGTTATATTTTTATTTTTCTACATAATCACCATCAAGTTCAATACACTTTTGCCACCTCCCCTTCCAAGCATTTAGACCGTTGAAAAAAAATGATTCTTCCTTAGAGTCAAAATATGCGTCTACAGCTGCTTTGACCTCGTCGTTTGTCGAAAATCTTTGACCTCCCAAGTGCTTTTTTAGGTTAGGGAACAGAAAGAAGTCTGATGGTGCCAGATCAGGTGAATACGGCGGATGCGGTAACAGTTCAAAGCCACAGTTGTGAATTTCAGCCATTGACTGTACTGACGTGTGAACACGGGCGTTATCTTGATGAAACAGGACTTTTCTTCTGAGAATTCCTCGACGTTTTTCTTTTATTTCCTCTCGTAAACGACGTAGTAAGGTGCAGTAGTAATCAGAGTTTATATTCTGACCCCTTTCAAGATAATCAATCATAATCACACCTTTCGAGTCCCAGAATACTGAAGCCATCACCTTATTTGCCGACAAAATCGACTTAGCCTTTTTAGGGGGTGGTGAACCAGGTCTTCTCCACTGTTTTGATTGTTGTTTTGTTTCCGGTGTACAGTAATGAACCCATGTTTCGTCCATAGTAACAAAACGATTCAAAAAATCATCTGCATCGGCTTCAAATAACTCCAAACAGTCGCGTGAAATAGTCAATCGCGTCCTTTTTTGTTCAACTGAAAGCAGTCGCGGAACCCACCTCGCAGACACCTTGTGGAAACCCAACTCGTTGACAATGATGTTTTGAGTTCGTTCATAAGAGATGCCTATAATCTCGGCCATCTCTCTAATTTTTAATCTGCGGTCTCCCATTATTAAATCAAGTACTTTTTTAATATTTTCGTCAGTAGTTGACGTCGAAGGCCTTCCAGAGCGGGGTTCATCTTTCACACTCTCTCTACCACGCTTAAATTCTGCTATCCATTTTTTGACGGATGAATATGACAGAGCACAATCGCCTAATGTACTGACCATGTCATCATGGATGGCTTTTGATGATAGCCCCTCCTTATGGAGGTACTTAATGACGGCACGCTGCTCGATTTGCTCCATTCGCGGAAATTATGTCCGATTACTTTGTTAATTAATAAATTTATAAAATCACAACTAATTATCGAACACGTTTCGAACTTCACACAATGAACTAGTCTGAACTGAACTAAATAATGTGGGTAGATTTCATTTTTAGAATTGAATGGATCTGTGTTAGGCCGAGGACTTTTCAATCCACCCTCGTATTAATCTAATGGAATTTTGTAATTGAGTTTTCACCCACTTCTATTAGTCTGATTGATTTGAAAATTTTCAGACATTAAGAACTGGTAACAATACAATAATTTAATTACTATCACCTAGTATTCTCACTAGGGTCATCACATCATTGTGATCAATGTGTGTTTAGTTTTTAGGGTTCCATACCTCAAAAGGAAAAAAGGGAACCCTTATAGGATCACTTTGTTGTCCGTCTGTCTGTCTGTCTGTCTGTCAAGACCCTTTTTCTCAGTAACGCGTGGAGGTATTAAGCTGAAATTCATATCAAATACTCAAGTCTACTGTCCTTTGGAGCTGTGAAAAAAATCAAATTTCTAAGCCAACGCAATCAAAAGATACAGCCGTTTATGCCGCAAATTTTCGACATTCGCAAGGGAATCAAAACCTACAGGGTACTTCCCGTGAACTCAGATTCTTAAAATTTGGTACAAAGCAACGTATTATAGTACAGATAAAGGAAAAATTACGAAAAGCATAAATTTTTAGTTACTTCATATAATAAAAATATTTTTAATAATTTTAAACTTATATACCTACGGATTTGTTCGGAACCCTCGGTGCGCGAGTCCAACTCGCACTTGGCCGGTTTTTTAAACTCTAATTTATTTTGGGACTAAAAGGATAAAATGTAGATTTTGAAGATGTAGGTTTTTACACCTGCACACAACAACATTATTCATGGCAAATACAATCTCTTAAAACTAAAAAATAATGATAAATAACATAATAAAAATATTTTTTATCCAAAATAATTTATATTATAATCAAGATATGCAAAATATGTATTATTATAACTATAAATATCTGTAAACACAATATTTGTAAAACATTCTAAACTTTTTAAATTAACTAATGTTTAATATAAAATATTTTGCCCTCTAGCTGAAAGCTATGGCTATGCAGCTCGGCGTCCCCCGGTGGTGCTACCATCGGCTTCACGGGCTGCACGAGGTGGTATGGCTGTTGATGAAGAAAGCATACCACGCCACCCACCATACATCGCTCACATCTCAAACTTGCCCTATGATGTGGAGGAGAGTGCCATTGCTGACTTGTTTGCTGGTCTCAAGGTATAAAATCTAGCATGAAAAATCAAAATTAGTTATATTATTATTGTGGATGCAAATATGTCAAAGTGATTTTTGCTCTGAACTTAGTATTTACGGGACAATTAGCCTGCTACACTGCTGCTCCATGCGTGTAGGCAATACTGTAAATGTCTTTGAATGATTTTATTTTTTTTTGAATGATTGAAAACATGAATGAAAATAACCCCTGGGAATAAGGTGATTGCCACCATGCTGGTTCTATGAAAATTCATTTAAAATTGTATAAACAAAATTATTGTTAAGTGAAATTATGTTTAAAAAAAAAGTCCCGCTGGGTTTCTTGCTGGTTCTTCCCAGGACAGAGGTATTTTCCGAACCAGTGGTAAATAAAATAATGACTTTCAATAAGTATTATGTAATAATCCATATTGAATAAAAAATCATTCTATTCTATTCTATTTGAATTATAATTTTTTTGTCAGAGATGCAGGTTTCTCTAGGGTGTTATTTAAAGGGTTAAGCATAATATTCATGTTTTTATCAGCAGAGAAATAATCTAGCAGCAGAAATAGATAATTGGTCAGCAAACCATGGCTAGCAAACATTAAATCAATCTGCAATTTTTGACATTCTGGATGGCTGTTAAGTTTTTAGTACAGCATATTAATTATATAAGCTGCAACAAGTGACTCATGTTTATTAAATTTTGATAAGCACTTGGAGGGTAAACAACTAAAAAATAATAAAGACTATTATTATTAAAAAATGCACCTTAACCTACTGTCGCTGATATTACTTGATACGTATTTCCGTATTTTTACAAATTTAACAGTACACCTAAATTTAACCAACTACTGCGGTCAGCAGTAAAATTTAGGTCTCTGCTTATAGACATATTTTCTTTGCTAACCAATCCTGAATCTTGCTGATCAATTAAGTATTTTGTGGATTGATTGTTTATTAGGAAAACTCATATTATTGTAAACTACCTATTTATGATTAAATTACTGAACAGTATCAAGATTATTTGCGAAACAAGAATTGCCGAATGTTTTTTTTTTTTTAAATTACAAACAGAATCTTTGAATGCTAACCAAATGATTTAAATGCTCTTTTTTGTGGTTAACCAAATTTACTTACGACTTAACATTTAATTACTTATCTTTCTATAATAAGTTTTAATCACAGAGCATGTGATAAATCAACACTTAAAATTGCAATAAATAATTTCATTAATGGCAGGCAAGGATCAAACCTGGGTCGCTTGCGTACTGTAAAATTTTACGTTGAAAATTTAGCTTCTTATCTCTCTAGCATGGATCCAAAATTGTTTCTAAAATTGCTCCATAACTCAGAATTAAGAGCCCTGTTATGTGGAATACATACTAATTCTGTATCACTGTACTTGAACAATTCCTGGTTAAATGTGTAAAATATTTATTTTTAAGTTGTAATATTTATCCATTTAAAAAAAATTAAGTTCTTTGCTAATAATAACTTTACATATTTGAAAATATTTCAATCTAATCTTAACATAAATAATTTGTCAGTAACATAATGTGAATATGTTATTAATACTTTTTTCACTTGTTTAAACAAAATTATTACACCAGACATTGTTATGGTGATACAAACTTAGTTTACCTTCACAGATTACCAACTTGAGACTTCCCCGTGAAGGTGGTCGCCTCAAAGGATTTGGCTATGTAGACTTTGAAGACAGAGAAAGTCTTGTTAATGCAATGAACATTGAAGACCTGGTAAGTGCAAAAAACATTTTTGCTTTTAATGCAAATTAATTTGTTTGCATAATGATTTCTCTTATATTTACGCGAACACTACACATTGAATAAAACTATTTGTGGCGGATGGAAGGAAAAGGGGAGATCTCCCGTCGGGCAAGGTGTTCTGTCCGGGGAGCGGCCAACGCTCCGCTCGGAGCGTTGGCCGCTCCTCGGACTATTCGGAGCTATAAATACTGCTTTAACTTCGGAACTTTGTTAGCGCGATTTAGGCTTCGATGAGTTTGCTTGTGGCGCGAATACAGCGCCGCCACATACTTTTACGGATTCTGTCACGTTTAATTATTTTTTTAATTCCCTATGTTTTATTATTTCTAGGTGAACCGATTTTGATGATTTTTTTTTTATTTGAAAGCTGGTGCTTCTCATGGGTCCCATATAAATTTGATCAAGTTCTGACCAGTAGTTTTTGAGTTATCCTTAATAATGCATATTTAATTGACTTCGACTACATTGATGATGTTCTCATTTTATTTATATTGAAGCCGGTTGTACAAAATTTTTAATTTCACCACTTGTTTAACCTCTCAGAACTTGACATTTTTTTGGACATACTTAGTCAGAACTATGGTCAAGCCAAAGAGTATAGTAGGTCAGGCCAAAGTTCTTATCCAAAAATAAAAAAAAATATAAACAATTAAAATATCGAATTATTTGTATGAAGGTCAAGTGAGCGCTAGAGTAGGGGAGACCGGGGTTGGTTGACCAAATTTCAGTGAAGACGCTTGTATTTTCATTGTTTTGAAGTATATTATTGTAAAAATGAATACATCTGATAGGTAAACAATTAAGCTTCTGAAAAAAATACCAAAAAGCTAGCAATCAATTATGATGTAGTGCACAAGCTTAATTTTGTAAAACACGAAATATGAGTCAACCAACCCCATGCCCGGGGTTGGTTGACTTGTCACTAGGGGTAAGTTGACCTATGAAATAATTAGCACACATTATAGAAATAAATATGAAAAAAATAAAATAATTATTTGTAATTATAACACAATTAAATTTTTAATCCTGTCAATTTAAATATACATCATAAATTATTATAAAATAGAATAAACAATCATACATTTAAAAACTTGTCAACTAAACACTGAAAACATATTTATTATCTGAAACTTGAAAACTTTTATTAACTTAAAAATATACAAAAGTATAAAAAAAATCTTGACTAATTCAACTTATATAAATAATTATATATTTTTAACGAAATAGATCACATTCTTGGAATTATCTAATCAGTCTTCTAAATCAGAGATGCAATTTTTGAATTAATGGAACTAAATTTTACCATTTGCACAGTGTTGTGCATGGGCCTGCACATAGTGCAATGAATCCATGTTTCTCCAGGACTAGTCAAAATGTAAGATTCAGTGCATTGTAAAAAAAATGTATCATCCTCATCACTTTTGCCTTCTTCGTCACTATTTCTCTTATTTGTCCCAGGGAAATCATTTTTCCTTTTCCTTTTCTCTTACTTTTGTTAGTCTGTCTGTATTAATAGTACAAACTTTCGAGTTTCATAAGGAGTAAATCCGTAATAAATATCAGCTGCCCTCTTGATGTAATTTTCTAATGCAAGTTCTTCCTCATCACTAAATTTTTGTCTATTTTTAATGCAGCCAGCGCTCTCCGAAGTCAATTTACATTTCGTCAATGCTGGTTTACTTTCTAACATTTTATTCATTTTTACCACGTGGCGTTGGGTGTTTTAAACAGTATGGCAAATTCTTTTGCTGTAGAATTAATACTTATTTTTTATCAAAAATAACTTGTTGACATGCTCCATCGAAGACATTTCTGGGTGTACTTCCTCGATCAGTCTTTTTTTTTGTATGTTCGCATGGTTCTGCAACAACAAGTACTTGATAAATTAAAAAGAAAACTGACTTTATTCTATGTAAAGTATACCCAGACTACTATGGGTTAGGTTGACTAGGTGGTCAACCAGCCCCATAATTAACTAGTCTACCAGCCCCGGATCGCTTTTTAATTTTTAACCACATGGTATAGCCTCAAAACTACGGCGAAATAAAAAATAATGGTACGCAATAAAAAGTTTATAAATCAAACTTTTACTTTAAATGACTTGAAAGTAAATAACAACGGGTATATAGGCGTTACTACAAAATATATTAGGAGGTAAAAAATTACTTACATGGTTTGTTTTTGGATATTAAGCTCATTCTCCCAAACTACGTGCGTATGCGATGCCGCTCTTCCGGTACCTGAGCGGGGGTAGAAAACAGTTTTTCGCGCCTAGTTGGATGAGGCAACACTTTTGAGTAGGTCGAGTTTTTGACGGCAAGTCAACCTGCCCCTATAGTCAACCATCCCCGGTCTCCCCTAATGACGATTGTAAGACGATTTGTCGGAAAATGAAATGTTTCGAGAAATTATCAATTACTGTGTAGTGGCGGTGTATGAATATTCATATCATTCCGTGGGTTTTGGTAAGAGGCGACTGATCCACTGTTAAGTTCCACGGTATACGTACCTTGTTACACAGTAATAAGGTATGTGTACCGTGGAACAGAACATGGCAACTGTGACAATTATACCTGTTACGGCCTACAGCTTCCCGACACTGTCGAATTTCCCGGGGCCCATGAGCGGAAAATTCAACGAGCAGCCGCAGGTCGGGTCCAATCGAAGAATGTCCTATAATACTAAACTATATGGGAGAATGCTAGGAAAATATAGTACGTACCTGTTTCAGACTCTAAGATCGCCCCAAGGCTCGGTCAGGCCGTAACTCATAACTTCCTTCTGGGTGAACTGATTTCGATTATTCTTTTTTTATTTGAAATCTGGTGCTTCACATGTGGTCCCATATAAATTTGATCAAGGTCTGACTAATAATGTTATTCTTAATAATTTATATTGAAGTTGGTTGAACAAAATTTTTAATTTTTAATTATTGTTGAAAACAACTTCGCTATAATGTTCACTATATATCGAAATTATAAAATAAAAAGTAATTTTAAAACTTTGTGGAATATGAAAATTTGTGTTAGTTACACATGATTTATAGTGATAATTCACACCGTATATTTAATTTACAGTTAATTCTGGCTATTAAATATAGTAATACGTGAACGACACAGTAATGTTGAAATGGAAATTTTATAAAGTATATAAAATTGTTACGAAGCAAAATATAAGAAATTAACTTTTATAGACAGTGTAATTACTTACGTTTTATATAAAAACTAACAAAATAATTCTGTTGTACCCACTTAATTTTTTTTAATTTGTAGTTGCCTCTTACACTCACGCGGCGAAGGAAATAACACTAAAGTATGTGACGTAAACGCAACGCGTAGGTAACGACGGAAACTCGTAATTTGAAGTAAATTCTGTTAATTTAGAGAAGCGTAATTTAGTAACGAAAATAATTCTAATAAAATATTAGTTTTATAATTCATATAAATAACATTTAAAAAATAATTGTTCTGAGCATTCTTAACTATGGTTCTGACTAAACGTAGTGATCACATATATACTCTTTGGTTCTAAGGGGTCCTTTCTAAATATTACCATACTCTTTGGAACGTTCTACAAAGGTGACATATGACTGCCCCATGTGTACTTCAAAGATTTGACAGATTAAGTAGATTTATAGTTGTTAGATTTTTTTATTAAAATGTCAAATGATTATACAGTTAATCTTTTGATAAGTATGTAGCTACTGCGGTTCTTGGACATAACTAACTTCAAACAAAGAAGGCTACAGATTCATAGTTACCACAAAATACTATGATGGAGTGTCTAACAGCGTGTCTAACAGCCTATAAGTATAACGGCTCTATACCCTTTAGACACAGCAGTGTGGCAGTAAAAATAAGAATAGTAAGAGGTGGATATCTACGCAGACAGACTCTTACACAAACAGTTTCCTACCATCTAGTGATACTAAAATATAGATGTAAAAATTAAAGTTTGAAAGAAGACTATATATAATAATAACATAATATTGTCTGTTATGTTTGTCATTTTTAATTTATCAATTGTTAGAATTAAAGTCAAGAATGTCTTTGACTTGTGTGCAGAAAAAGATCATTGTTTTCAACTTCTTACCATACATATTTACAAAACATTTTACATTCCACAACAATATAAACTATAGAAAATGTAAATTAATAAAGTCATGCTGCCTTGTAAAACACATGTTAAATAATATAATGCATTACATTATTATATGAACTAAGCGCATAAAGGGAAACTGTTATGTTGATTTGTTTTGTTGTGTTACACAGACAGTTGGTGGCAGGAGAATAAGAATAGAAGTCTCCAACAATGATAATGACCGCCGTATGGGCAGAAGTGGAAGGTCTGACCGTGACAGGTAAGTTCTATAATTTGCCACTTTTTCACTTCGTATTTGAAAAAAGATTGCATGCTTAATTTTGTTTTATTAAATTACAATCATCCCACCTCAACTCATGGATTTTATAAAATTGCATTATATTATCACGGCTTTATAATGTATGAATCTTGCTGCTAGATGTTGAGTTCGTTCAGCAGTTTTCAACATTCATGTAATTGGGTAAAAAATGAATCTATGCAAATTTGCCTCGCAAAAACTGTCAAGTACTCAAGGATGTTTAACTCACCTTTAATTGTTGTGATCCTTATTGAATTGGTATATTCTGCAGGGAGTACGATCCAGAGCGCACAATGGGCGACTGGCGGTCCGGACCGCGTGCTGCACCAGAACCTCAGGCGCGTGCTCGGACCATGGATAGAGACCGAGAACGGGACCGCGAGAGAGAATGTAAGTTCCGTCAACGTAATATCATTCAAATTCATACTTCTTTAAAAAAAATTAGAGACTATATAGCCTATTGATGGGTGGTATATAGCCTAGTGCTAATATCGTGGAAGTTCCTTTTGATTCTTGTTTCAAATCCCAGCTTTATTTGACACTTATGAAAACACAAATTTGAAAACATAAAGTTCTTGTAAATCTGGCTTGTGTGGTATCATAATAAGTTTTTCCTTTATCCACTCAACCGTCCACGGTGACTACAGTCCCCAAAAACCATTATTGCCTCACCTGTCTAGGCATCAAACGACATCTTTCGGTTTAAACGCGTACAGCTCAATACATAGCTGTTATTAATACAGTAAAAAATTATAGATGGTCCTATATGAAATTTGTCGTCTGTGAAAATGAATTTTATCTGTATAATAGTAACAAAATATTTAGAAAAAAAAGTTAAAATTTGCCATTTTTGTTTGTGGAATGTTAACGTGTGAGAAATTCGATCAAAAATGTGATAACTTTTCTGTTTTTATACGTTATTTCTAATGTTATTGTACATCAAACTAATTGTGAAGATATTTTCTTTAGTAAATATGTATCATTACGACAATTCCAAAATGTTTACATAATATAATAATTTAGCTCTAAATTTTAATCACTATACGCGATTATCGTTTATTGATTATATGTTGTTTAAAAATGTATTCTAATCAGTTTTTGTGTTAAATGAATGCAAAATATAAAATAATGATTCACTATTAACACGTTGATAGCAATTTATAAACGAAATATCTGTTAAGATGTGTCTAGAAATTATTAAAACCTATTTTTTTTTCATTTATTTACTTATTTATTCAAATTTATATTGGATAAACATTATATACTTATGTATATTGAGTATATAAGATGTTATTGATATTGGTGTCATTTTATAGGGAATATCATGTACTATTATAATATAAAATAATTGTCTCCAGTAAGTATTACACTTTTCTTGTAAAACTCGAAATAAAAAATAAATACGATTTTTTTTTCATATTCCCATTTTTAAGCTTTATTTTTAATTTGACTAATTTTCTTTTAACAAAATAAAACTTTGAATTCTTTGAGTCTTTTGAGAATATTTTTTATTTGAATGTAGCTATAGTAGTTTTTCAGTAGTAACGTTTTTGTTAAGACTGTCTCGCGCGGTCGTAAAAAATAGTGACATTTAATTCGCGGATAGGTCAGGCGAGAATCACTCGCGCGGGGCGGACGGTTGAGTGGTTAGACTGCATATAAATATGTCACCTAGAATGAAATCATCATCCGATTTTTCTAGCAGCTGGGCTCAAGCTTGAATTTTTCAGGTGCGGCACATGATAAATTAGTACTCAATTGTGATTAACAAATTAGTAATGCTGGCAGTAAGCAAACTATACTTCCTCGCACAATGACGCATGGGGACCGAACACCGATCAAAGGTTTGCTTATAACATACATAGGTCGCTCTCCAGATTTTCCGACCTAGCAGAGTATTTCAGCTTCATCACCCATGGTTAAAGCTAACATGTCACTATGATGATTTTATTAAGTTTGGTGACATTGGAGTGAGCTAAAATGTCACACTTGGGACACACCAACAGAGTATAATGATCATTGATTGTATTTGTATCTAGTATGTTTAGTATGCTTAATTATGTTTATTATATATTCTATCCATATTAACATCTTAAAAACATGTAGACAGTTTTGGCGGGAACTTGACCGGCTATGGATTGCTGCTCATGTATTATTGTTTATATAATGGTTCGAAGTGGATTTTGATATGTAAAAGTGGTGCTATTTTGTGTATTAAATGTGTGCACATGTGAACTATTTGTGAAAACGGTGAAACAAGTGCTCTGATGGTGATGTGAATCTCAAGATAAGGTATCTGTCTGCTTAGGCGCCTTGAGATAGTATCGCCAACTGTCTGCTGGCTCAAGTTGCCGTCAAAATCTCCCAAAAACTGCAATCTGATGCATCAACGTAGTGTGAAGCAATGTACTGTAAAGATTATTATCATTTGATACTGATCTATAAAAACGAAGATCTCGTATAAAATGAACACACACACAAAATGGCTTAAAGGACAAGCATCCAAGCCAAAAATCTTAATAAAAAAAGTATTCAATTTACTTTTATTTTTGATGATATGTTTGTATATTGTATAAAACATAAAATACCTAAACTTTTATTAAAAATCAATGATCTTAATTACTTCTTTTGTCTCGGGAAGGTCTGAGTAAAGGTCATAAGTTGTTTCTTTTCCACTCTCTAGAAGGGAGCGTTGCTCATAAGCAATGGCAGAGGCACCAGAAACCATAGGCTGCAGTGGAACTGTTGGGGACTCCATTAGGATGAGACTTATCCCTGTATGCCGTTGAAAGTTCTCTGTGACCAGCTGTTTTAGTACAATCTGTGACACAGCTATGCTGCAACTCAATTCAGACTAGTCTTTGGCTCACTCCTTTTATCACTTAAACTTAATTCTGAGTGACTTGAATGTTCTGTCTTTTGAGGTCAGGATATTGTGATAGGAAATTTAAATATCATAAAAATGAATGTTTGCAGCAAGCATTGACAACAAGCCTGGTGGTTGGCGAGATGGCGAACGACAAGCACCCGCTGAACCAGCTAGAACTCCATATGGTGGCAGGGACTCTTATGGACGTGACCGTTATGGTGATGATCGGTGTGTAACTTTGTTGAAATTATGTTACCCAAACCTGCTTACATTATTACATAGATTATAAAAAAGTAATTTTTTACATCATAAATAATATTTAATTTATATCTATCCATCTGATACATTGTGTAAGATTCCTTCTTCATCATCAAAGTCCACTGCTGAACATAGGCCCACAGGAACACAGGCACACATAGGAACACAGACCTCCTTCAAGGAATGCCACAAAGCACGGTCCTGAGCTACCTGCAAACATCGACTTCCTGCAGATCTCACAAGGTCGTCACTCCACCTAGTGCTCCATCTAGTGACTTCCTGCATATCTTACCAGGTCGTCACTCGAGAACCATTTTTCCCCATCGGCGGTCGGTTCTTCGAGCTATATGGCCGGCCCATTGCCACTTCAGCTTACTAATCCGTTGGGCTATGTCGGTCACTCTGGTTCTACTGCTGATATCTGCGGAAACTCCGAGCATAGCCCTCTCCATAGCTCGCTGAGCGACCTTGAGCTTCCTCATCCGGCCAGTAGTGAAGGACCACGTCTCAGTACCATAGGTCATCACTGGCAACACGAACTGGTTGTACAGTCTTGTTTTCAAGTTTTGAGGTATGTCTGACGAGAAGATGTGTCTTAGCTTCCCGAACGCTGCCCAACCGAGTTGAATCCGTCGATTGACCTCTTGGTCGAAGTTGGACTTACCTAGTCCCAGGTAAACATACTCGTCAACAACTTCGAGCTTAGTGCTCCCAACAACTACCGGCATAGGTGTGACATGGACGTTAAACATGATTTTTGTTTTGTCCATGTTCATCTTAAGACCTATCCGTTGGGAAACACTATTGATGTCATTGAGCATAGTGCTTAGGTCCTTCAGCGATTCTGCCATAAGGACTATATCGTCGGCAAATCGAAGGTGAGTGATCAGTAACGTATATAGAATCGGAAGAAAGATGGAAAACAAAAACCGACCAGTCGTAGTTTCCTTTACAACCCAATGAAGAAACATCTTGTACTCAAGAACAAGTTGAATCTCCCATCATATATATACTTTAAAGAGGATTACTCCAAGGAAACCGGAAAAGCGTAAACAACTACAATCCCTATTTAAAACATGATAAACTCAGTGATAAAACCGGAGGACAATAGTACAGAAAAAAGAAAGAAAGTGCCCTCAGATTCTCCCAAGCAAGCAACACAGAAAAAAGCTAGCATAAGCAATTTAGCCAGAAATACAAACCAATCTCATACTAAAATACAGAAAAATGAAACTATTAAACCAAACTTACTAAATTATGTAGATAAAACAAGATCTGATCATTACCTAAATACCTCAAAAACTAATTAAGGCCCTAGAAAACTGGAAACAAACAGAAACGGCTACAACAAATAGATTCAAGCAAAAACAAATAAATTGTCTCCCAAACGGCTGGTCTCCGCGGGAGCACTAGACCAAAACCCTCCAGCAAAAAGAAGTGAAAAATTTAAACATTGCAATATAAAACACAAGAACTTTGCGAACACAAGAAAGCTTACTCGAATTGGACAATGCGTTACAAAATATAAAATTTGATATTCTGGGCATATGTGAAATGAGAAGGTCAGATGAGAAAATAACAGAACAAAGCGATTACATATTATATCAGAAAGGTGAAACAGCAGGCCAAAGAGGAGTGGGCTTCTTAATAAAAAAAGCATTGAAAAATTATATACAAGAACTGATAGGCATTTCAGACAGAATAGCAATACTCAACATTAATATGCCAAGGTACAAAGAACTGTGGACATATACAGGTATATGCACCCACAGAATTAGCATTAGAAAGTGAAAGTGAAAGCTTTTACTGCACTCTGTCCGATATTATAAAAAAATACCATAATAACTTCCTTATAGTCATGGGTGACTTGAATGCACAGGTTGGCTACAGAGAACCTGGTGAAGAAAATATTAATGTAAAAAAAAAAATTTGCATGCTATGAATAACCGTAGCAAAACATGCTGATCTGAAAAGTTTTGTAAAATCTATTATATACCATGTTTTATGCAAATAAAATATTATTATTATTATTATAAGAATTGATAATGGGCAAATATGGATATGGAAAGAGAAGTGCAAACGAGCATTGACTAATTGAATTTCTACTACAAAATAAATTTATATTACTCAATTCAGTTTTCAAAAAAAAAAACTCCAAAACCAAGTGGACCTGGATATCACTTGATGGCAAATATAAAAACTAAATTGATTTCATAATAACTAATAAGCCAACATTTTTCCAAGATACACACATTATTAAAAATTTAAATTTTAATACGAATCACTGCATGGTACGTTGCCGTTTAAAAAAGCTTCCAACAAAAAGAGGTAGAAATAAAATTAAAAATAAATTGACATTAGAACAACACAGAGAAATATAGATCCTTCGTTCATCAACACACTGAAAGAAATAATAAACTCTGACAGAAGTGTCTCAGCAAAATACGATTACATGGACAAAGAACTATTAAAATTTTGGAAAGTAAAGGTAACTAAAGATCTGAAGTTTGGTGAGAAGACAATAGAGCCCCTAGAAGAAAGAAAAGCCCTAATGACAGACAAATCAAAAACTGAAGAAAATCGTAACATAATATCTAGAGTAAGACGAAGAAGCAAACAGATTCGAGAAAATATTAGAAAGGATAGGAAATTAAGAAGAATTAAAAAACTAGAAGATGAAACAGGGAGAACAAGAAAAGCTTTCAAGGAATTAATAGAATATGGAATGGAATGGACACCAAAACTAAGAAGCAACATATTGAACTCTTTACTCAAACAATGACACCGATTGAGAAAAGAAAGCCAATAACGATCCTATACGAATTATAAAAAGTCCCATCAATACTCTTGCAGGAAGATCATAAAGCCATCATGTTACAGAAGCTAGAAAAAGCTCCAGGACCTGACAATATAACAAATAAGCTAATCAGAAGCACCAAAGAAGAAATAAGCCCAATCCTAATCAAGCTATGCAATGATATTATAAGAACCGGCACTATCTCGAAACAATGGAATGAATCACATATCATTCTCCTACATAAGAAAGGGAATAAAGATGACATCGGCAACTATAGATCAATTAGTCTAATATCCAATGATGTGTACAAAGTATTCAGAAAAGTAATTCTAGAAAGAATAACAAGGGTCTTAGACCAAAACCAACCGATCGAACAGGCAGGATTTAGTAAAAACTACAGTACTATATAGACCACATCCACACAATCAAACAAGTCTTGGAAAAATACAATGAATACCAGAAGAAATTGTATATCTGCTTTATAAACTACTCTAAAGCATTTGACAGCCCAAAACTCAAATTACTAATCAAGTCCATCTACAAAATAAGCAAAAGCAGTATTAGAGTTAAAAGGAGACCCCTTTTCAATAAACAGAGGCGTGAGACAAAGAGACCCGTTATCTCCAAAGCTTTTTAATGCTGTGCTGGAACACACATTTAGAAAATTAGACTGGGATAATTATGGTATTATAATCAATGAAAGCCACCTGAATCATTTGAGATTTGCAGATGATATTGTCCTGTTAGAAGAAGATTCCCAGAAACTAGAACATATGGTAAAAGACATAGCAGAAAATAGCAGAGAAGTAGGTTTATAAAAAATTAATGCAGATGAAACAAAACTAATGACTAACTCATCAGAAAGCAACATAGAGGTCTACGGAACCAAGTTGGAATATGTGAAAGAATATGTTTACCTAGGACAAATTATATCTGCTAGAGACTCCATGTCCAGGGAAATACACAAAAGAATAGCCTGCGGTTGGAGGAAATACTGGTCCTTGAAAGAAATAATGAAGAACAAAGATTTAGGCATACATATCAAGAAAAAGACTTTCAACATTTGTATTCTCCTATGCATGACATATGGCTGCGAGACATGGACATTAACGGACAAACATAGAGAAAAACTTGCTAAAACTGAAAGAAGCATGTTGGAAATCAGGCTTTGTGACAGAATCCGAAATGTGGAAATAAGAAGGAAGACAAAAGTAACAGAATAATAACTCGTATAGACCATCTAAAATGGAGCTGGACAGGACATATGCTACGTTGCAAAATAAATAAATGGAGCAAACAAGTAACCTTATGGTATTCAAGAAGAGACATCAGAAGACAGCGGCGTCCGAAAACAAGATGGAGTGACGATATCCGCCTAACTCTAGAACCATACTGCACCAGAAATGCAGAGGACCGGGCTCAATGGAGATAGCTGGAGAGGAGGTCTATGCCAAGAGGCACGCTGAATTGCGAGATAAAGATATAAAAATAAAATAAAATATACTATATTATAAGAAATAAAGTTCATAAAATCAAAAATGTTAGACTGCATGTAGTTCGGAATAAAAGGGCTTTATTATTATTATAACAGTTACAGTTTATACAAAAGTCCCAGTGAATAGATGTCAAATAATGCTATGTAGGGATTTATTTGAATCAAAATTATAATAATATTTTATTGTTTCCAATCGGCAAATAGAAATGACCACCACTGAATATGGAGTCTCTCCCATTGTAGGGAGAGTATTTGCCTTAATCGTTGGCTTGTCAGGCTAATTGACTGAAATTTAATATTATGTTGTTTGCTGGTTAAATTAAAAACTATTTTGCTGTAGATTTGTATATTTGAATAGTAAATAATATTCCAAAATTATTGTTGTACAATATGATACTATAAAATATTATATACCTAGAGAAGCATTGACCTACTGTTAAATAAATGGACGGCGGGTGTAGAACAAAATTGACGAAAAATGTGTCCCCACACATTTTTCGTTTTAACAAAAATTTAAAAAAAAGCTATAACATTCTAATTCAAACCATATTGTCATTCGAAAACTGCTCAATTTTACTTGAGACAATTTATCAGCCAGTTAATTTGAACTAGAAGGTGCATTGTTTTCATCACTGATCATAGAAACAACTGTTAGTTTCTATGATCTGTGGTTTTCATCTTATGTGGCTTCTAGTTAAAATTGTAGGTATGGTTATTTGTTTTTACAATTCATATGAATTTAAATTAAATATTATGTATCAAAGCAAAATAATAGTTTTAAATTATTAAATATTAATAGTCCTTACTGAAAAAATATACGAGTATAAATTGAAATAGTTTTCGCTTGTTTTCACAATAAAGTAAGACATTTTGGACGTGTATTATGTCTGTTGACAAAACGAAGACTGGCGCACGATTGGAGCTCTTTTTGCATTTTGGAACTCTTGGCTCTGACACTTGGGCGCGGACTCGAGGTCCATGTAGTAGTAGGTCAATGCCTAGAAGTAAAATAATGTAGTGTTCTCCCGATCGAATTTCGGTTACGACTGCTAGTTTTGCAGGGACTATCCATTTTCGCAAGACAGGTGTATAGTGTACGAGTGTGTTTGCACAGTTGCACTCTTCTTACTTCTCACTCGTAGTCTAATTTATTGAATGGCAATCCGACATGGCTAGAAAAAGATCAAGCGCAGTATCAACAGTTTTACTTGTTTTCATGGAGGCGAAATTAAACACTGCCAACTTCTAGACTAATGCACCTCTTCCATGAAAACACTTCTTAAACCATAATTTAAACTTGTGACTAAAATACGTTTTGTAATAACATCAGTTTTCAAAGGTTTTGTAGAATAAATACACATGTACAAGTAGCTCGTAAGCTGTTATTTCATGTTTTTGGGAGCCAATGGTAAAACATGACCATTACCACACATTTTTATAATTTCTTTATGAGGGCCAATGTAAAACAGTATATGACATCTTTGTTTTCATTAATTTAAAACAAGTCAACTATACTCCTAGTTATTGGAATGTGGCCAATATATTATTTAAAACGCTAAAAACCTAAATTACAGTGGAAGAGAGCGAGGAGGATTTGGCCGCGATGGTTTTCGATCTGACCGAGATGGGTTTGGGTACGTAACATATTTAGTTTCGTATTCAATGAAAGTTAAATTTGACTATACTTTTTAATTATTTTATATGCTTCTAGTGTAGCATTGTTATGCATTATCGCAAAAATCTTACAATTTAAATTATCCTGTAATTTTCTGCATTAATAAGCCCGTCTTGTAAAATGTACATTTAAAGTCATTAGTTATTATATGACGAAATTAAAAACTAAAGTTTTATATTATGAACAGAAGTCGCGACGGTCGAGGATTTGGTGGAAGAGGATTTGGTGACCGTGACCCACTACCTCGGGAAGGTAAGGTTAATTCAAGTCATTTATATACCCGCACGGCAGTTTGTCAGCCAATTTCGCAATAGAAAAGAACGACGCAATGACAATGTGTATATTTACACGAATCATATCAAGCAACTTCCGAACCCCCTATGTTTCGAAAGCTATTAGTCTTACACACTTCTAACAAGTCTTCATACACCAAGTTTCGCCTAATAGGTAACCCGCGAAGTCTAGTGTCTTAACTAAATTCAATAATTCAATTGTTATTATAACATTTTCACAACTATTGCCAAAAAGCGGTCCTTTTCGGTATAAGAAGACTCCTAAGTACATTTTTTTCGTTTTGTGTCTTGCAGCAAAAATGCAATGTTGGTACACATTGAGTTTACCAGCAAAACACTGGAAACTAAAATGGAACAAGTTATTTTTAAAAATGTAGTGATTTTGAACAGTATTTCCTTCTAATGTTTCAAATGGATTTTTTTTTCGCTTCTTTCAATAATACGCCTTAATACTATACTAGTGTCGGTAACCTTGTCAATTGCCCCCTTGTCTGGGATTTTTAGTACAGGTTGTTCCGAAATTATTCATTATTAAACAAAGTATCGATAGCTCTATAAATATTCATGAATTGTGTATGAAAGTTCTGTCCAATATTTGTAAATGCGATACCGAAAACTTTTAATTGAATATCGTAACATAGCAACACATTGTAATCTATTTCAAATAATTACATTACTTCAAAAAATTATTTAAGCTTAAATAAATGTTATTGCGTACAGAAAGCAAACCTCGTGAGCGTCCAAAACTAAATCTACTTCCGCGCACTGTGCCACGTGAGCCAGAAGTGCCTGTCAAACCAGCAGATGGAGCACTAGTTGATGACAAGCCAGAAAAACCGAAACCTGTCCCAGCTGAAAAAGTGTTTGGTGCGGCAAAGCCGGTGGACACTGCTGCTAAGTGAGTACCATCCGTTCCATTACAGCCTATAAAAGTCCACTGCTGAACATAGGCCTCCCGCATAGATTGCTTCATAGGGGGGATTTTTGCCATAGTTGCTACACTTATCCTGTTTCAGTTTCCCTCTGTCGTCTCTTACGTTACCCACGGGACGATATGGGGTAGTGGATATTCTAATACCACCACTACACGGATTAGTTGAGTACCAAGCTCTGCATTTTATTAAGAGTTTTAAAAACCGAAAGGTGTGTAAGAGCACAGCAATCTTGCAAATTGTCATGCAAATTGCATATAATTTGATGTTCTAATATTAATTATTTTCATTAAGAGAGGCCAAAGTCCATCATTGATACAATATTATGTTATCTGCTTTGCACATATATCAAACACTCTTGATTAATATATCTTGATTGTCAAGCGAGGGTTCCTGAACTCTATTGTGCAAAATTAAAAAGGTTATTTAGACACCGTTTCAAGCCTTTTAATGCATGTTTCGGTCGCTTCACACCAACATTACTTTAAAATTATAAACTAAAACTAAAAATGATATAAAATTTATATTGGGTATACTGCCTTAACCTTATTTTAATGATTTCTTGCTTACCAGGGAGCGTGAAATAGAGGAGCGTCTTCGGAAACAAGAGGAGGAAGCTAGACGCGCTGCTGAAGAAAAAGAACGTTGGGGTCGTAAGGTAAGTTTTATTTATCATAATTAACTTGCTATTAAAACAAATAAACAAGCAATTAACAAATAATTATCCATTTGGCATGTTGTAATGGCACAAAATAATCTAATCACCCTATTTTGTCCCTGAGGTGGTCGTAGTAAGTGACTATGAGGAATGCCTAACTTTAGGTTAAAGATAGTTATAAGCACGGAGCAAATACAACGAGGAGGTGTTGTAATTAGATTTCACTAAGTAATAACGCCCACTGTGATGATCTCAGGACCTAGCTAGAATCAAAGTGCACAGTTGGTTAGGATGTCTCTTCTTTGTATTTGCTCGGTGGTTATAACTATCTCATATATATGTCAGATAAAATCCGGTGAGTCCGATGCACCAATGGATACCAAGTTTGAATTGAATGAGAGACACAGCTTAGCATATTAGTGGGCATATTTACTTACCGTACCGTTTGCCGCCAAGCTTAGATTACAGCAAATTCTAGACTTGAAGAGCGCTATGTTCAACAGATGCTAATTAGCTGGAAAAAAAGTTTTCTCTATGAAGGCAACGGTTCCCTAGGATCTTCGAATAGAATCGAATGGAATCGCAATAATTTGCATCCTTATTTTATTTACTGCGAAACAGTGCCATTATCAACAATCCTAATCACCCGAGGGCATCGCTTGTCAGGCGAATACTAGCAAAGACGCGTTTCGGCTCCACTTGTGTGCCTCAGTCGTAGCAATTTGCTGTCCATCACGTAATGAGCACGACTTGCGTATTATGACCGAATTACCTAGATTTGTCTATGATAAACGCACACGAAACAAATGACACTCGACATAACTTGTTTCAAATGCAATCGCCACAAGACTTATTAAAAAAAAAATAGATTAATTTTATATTTTCTTCTTAATTTCAGAATGATCACTCCAGTGACCGTCGTGGTGGTGCCAGACGTGGTATGTAATTACGTAAATAACGATTAAAAATTCCCGCCTAAACATAGACCCAAAAAAAATCTAGATACACAATCCCATGCAAAAGTTCTCTGAAAACTTTCGCCAATTGTTTTGACGTAATTCTATTTGAAATAAATATACATTAATGTAAATTCAACCTTAAATGCATTGCCTAAAGTTGTATTCACAAAGCTACGTACAAATTAAAAGCGCTCCCAAATGTTCGAGTGGGGCGCTCATTCGGTAAGGAGATTTTTTGTCACTGATTGTGTATCTAGACTTCTTCATTGTATATCAACATTAGGTAGTGTATATTTATTATATACACTACCTAATGTAAACTATCCTTATACTGGGTGACGCTTAGGTTATCACGCTAAATAGCACAGCACTTAATACAAGTTGATATGTCTGTTAAAATAATAAAAGAAAATAAAAAATGCATTTTTCAAACAAAATAAATAGCGTAAAAAATATCATCCTTGATAATATTAGTTTACTGACCTGAAGTGACATGTAAAACCGGCAACAGCGCTCAGTGCTCACGTGACATCGACATAGGTAATTATAATACTGTTGCGCGCCACTATTAATGTCTTGTACATGGCAACACTAGTTACACTAGCGCCCTCTAGTGTCTCGAACCCCAAGCTCGTAACAATACCTACACTTGACCATACATATACAGATGGGCAAAGCACCGGGTTTTAAACACCCGTAAACACCCATAAACACCCAAAAAATTGGGTGTTTATTTAATTTGTGTAAGTATTTAAGTAATATTAAAAACAAGTTTTAAAATTTATTTTTATTGATTATAATGATCAATACAACTATAGAAATTTAAAGAAACGTCACCCAATATTAGTTTTCGGTGCTTTCATGTTGTTGTTGACCAACATGTTGGCCTTTTGCTTGCCGTAGATATTTTAAAATTTCCTCATAACACCTCGTGCGCACACATGGCCGTATATATTTAACTTACTTCATTAAAAAGTTTAAAAGCAAATAGGTCAGCTTTGTAAATATTGGCAGTTCGAGAAGACGTGGAAATTGCAAGAGATATTAAAGATTTAATTCTAAGTGATGATTTTTGGACGAAGACAGGTGAATGTATAAGTATTTTGGAACCAGTCACTGAAAGCATATTTTACTTAGAGAGCGACCAGAATCGTATACATCGCACATACATTACATTTAAAGATATACAAGCTAAGATACGTTTCACTTTAACTGATATTTCAACATTGAGCAAAGAAAGCAAACAGCAAATTCTAACATCAGTCTCTTCAAGATGCAAGATGGCAATTAGACCAATACATTTGGCAGCATATATGCTAGACCCTACAACTCAGGGATTAGAACTTACTCAAGAGGAAGAACTTCAGGGTATGGAGTTTATCTACAATTTAAATCAACACTTGAGTTTGTTTAATGTAATGGCAGATTTGGCGTGTTACAAAGCTAAAGAAAACTTTTGGGCCAGACGATTTCTATGGAGCTCATTAGATAGTATTGAGCCCATAATATGGTGGAAAGGTATTTGTGGTTCCACCGAGCTTAGCAAAGTAGCGATTCGTATTCTATCAGCTCCGTGTACTTCTGCAGCCACCGAGCGTTCCTTTAGTATCCAAGGCTACATACATAATAACAAAAGAAATCGACTTACAACTGAAAGAGCTGAAAAAATTTCATTCATTTGTTATAACTGGAATCTTAAACATAAACATGAACATGAGAACATTCAGTTTCATGAAGAAAATGAAGAAGAAAATGTCATAGAAGCTTTCATCGATGAAGTAAATGACTATAATAGTTCAGACGAGATGGAACCTATCCAATTTGTCGCCTGTGACAGTGTTGAATCGGATAGTGATTGATTGCATTTTTATTTTATTTTATCTCTTTTTTAATAAATAAATAATTAATAAATATCTTTGGACAATTTCACACAATGCTACCTAGCTCCAAAGTAAGCAACTAATATGCTTATGTTATGGGTGCTAGCTTAATGGATATACTACTTATATACTTTTTAAATACATGTTTTATACATAGAATCACCCAGACCCGTCATAGAAATTCAAATTCATCATTTCAATTTCTGCCCCCCCGGGATGAGAATAGACTCAAACACAATTTTTATTTTGTAGGCGACATAATAACATTACTTTACTATATTGTTCGTGAGTCCAACTTAGAGTCACATAGTGAGTATAAATAAATGCTAAGTAAATGTTATGATTGAAATGAATTTTCAATCATGAATTCATGACTTTAATTTTTACGTGTTTTTATTACTGAATATTAAGTTTGTGTTTAATGCGGATCGCAAGGCCACAGCTCAAGCTAACCATATCCGGTCTTTCATGTCGCCTTGGTCTATCGAAAGAAAATACGGAAACGGGTAGCTGGAACTGTGGCCCACTGTACCAGCTAGCATTTGGTTAGGTCGAGAAGTAGAATAGGTTTTCGAATTTAAGTTAAAAATCGTAAACACCCAAAAATTTGGGTGTTTACTGGGTTTAAACCCAAAACACCCAAAACACCGGGTTTTTACCCACCTGGGTTTAAACCCAGGTGGGTGTATTGCCCATCTGTACATACATAGGTAATTAGGGACGCGTAGGGCGATGCTAATCCGATGTTATCAACGAATCATAAATTTCATAGTATCGTTTTTATCCAAATAATCACTTTTTAATAATCAAAAGAAATCAAATTTTGAAAAAAAAAAATATCATGTCGTTGTATTCTGACAATGTGAAACTGTGATACAAAGCATCTTAAAATTTAAAAAAATAAAAGCGTGCAATTGCGCACGGGCTGTCACACCATTAAGTTATTAAATATGATTACCTAGCGTATTATTAGTGTGTCCTATCACAAATAAAAAATACAATACAGTAAAAGAAAGCGTCCAATTTCGCACAAACTGTCACACCACCTTATCACAACTATTATTATCGTATCAACGTGACCTATCACAAACAAATTAAGAAACTTATTAAAATTGCCACAACCAAAAAAAAAAGCAATAATTAAAACTTAAAGGACGTGTACGCGAAAAACGAAAATTAGGTCAAGCGACTCGTGAACCATTCCCAAGGACGTCGGCGTCAGACTAAGTGACGTACTTTCTTACTAATCGTCGCACCCGCCAGAGGTAAATATGAATTTAGACACCCCGTCCCATTTCTTGTCACTTCGCGCATAGAGGATTATGCCTTAAGTCCTTTATTTTAATAAATTTTTCGCTTGAATTTGTTTTCACGTACCCGCAGCGCACGGTCCCTTTGTTTTTAATTTCGCGCATAAAATTATGCCTTAAATTGTTAGCCGTAAGTACATTTTTTGCTTGATTTTTACTTCGAAGAGTATTTCGAATTGGCAACGTTTAAACAAGGTATCTTCGCCTTCAAATGCCATGGGTCTGACCTTCTAGTATTCATCAGGTGATATCTGTATGCATATTTACATGATGTTATATAATCTTAAAACGAAAAAATCCTACGGCGACTAGAATATTAATTGTTATAAATTTTTTTTGTTGTGTATATTTAAAGAAATTTATGTAGGATACGTCTTTTGATTTAATGTGATAACTTTATCGTCACTCGGTATATATTTTTAAATAAAATCACTGCACTTTCTCTTTTCCTCATTGTATGAGATCGTTTACACTTTACTTTGTTTTTATTTATTACAGACGACCGAGGCAGAGACTCACGCAGCTACAACAGAGACCGGCGCGATTATTCTAAAGATGACAGAGATCGGCGTGATTACTCCAAGGATAACAGAGAGCGCCGCGACCATTCAAGAGACAGACGCGATTACTCGAAAGAGGATAGAGACCGCCGCGACAGAGACGAGAGAGATCGCCGCGATAGAGACGACAGAGATCGTCGCGACAGAGACGACAGAGATCGTCGCGGAAGAGACGATAGAGACCACCGTGATTACAAAGATGATCGCGACGGGCGAGACTCCCGCGATCACAGAGATGAAAAGGATTCACGCGATTACAGGGATGACCGAGACAGACGCGATTATAGTCGAGAAAGAGACAGGCGAGACTATTCCGGCGATAGGGATGATCGATCCCGCAACGATAAGGCTAGGGAGTCGTCCCCAGAGGTAAGGAAGGCAGCGCGCAGTGATGAGGACCGCGAACAAAATGGTCGCGAAAGGCCGAGTCGCTCACGTGAGAGGCACGACGATCGCGAAGATAAACCCTTGCCGAAGTTAAAAGAACAAGAGAAACCAGTAAGTTTTCAAATATTCCGTAAACAAATTCATTTTCTTATGATAACTCACACTCTCATATTTGACAAGTAGTAAAATGTAAATATTTTGTACAACAGACTTCAATATAAATAAAATGAGAACATTATCAATGTAGTGGAAGTCAAATAAATACGCATTGTTAAGGGTAACTCATAAGAATCATCAAAATCTGTTCACCTAGAAAACATTTATAAGATACACATAAAAAATACAGTCGAGTTGAGAACCTCCTCCTTTTTTTAAGTCAGTTAAAAAATAGTTATGACTACATCAAAATAAGCATGGTAAAAAATTAATTCAGCAGTAATATCATTTCTTAGAGCTGATAGTTTTTATATTCGGGGTTGCAGTTTAGATTCATTTAAAATCAGTTTGCCCCACGGAGGAAATACAAAGAGGTGTTGTAATTAGATTTCACTATGTAACAACGCGTGACAATTTGCGGGATGAGGGGGTGTTGAGCCCGCCCACTTAACTATTTCCATCTAGCGATAAATAGTAAAACTACTCGCATCGTTCCATGTTGATGTTGTAATATAGTTTAGCTACCTTTACGATAGATGGCGGCATGTTTACAAAAACTGTAAAAATAATATTTTGGCGATTAAAAATTCTTTAGGACTGAATGCAAAACAAATTTTAGCGTCTTCATATTAATATTTTACCAATACTGAGTACCTTTATATTTTTAGTTCCCTTGACACAGTGTCGCCATCAAGTGTTGAATATATTTAATTATATTTGAAAGCTGACGCAGAGATTTTTCTAGAACTTTTAATTAATTAGGTATAAAATAACTTACAAACTAAATGTGATGCATTTCATAGTATCAGCGCGTCTAGAGTAGTTTTTACACGATAAAACACAACATTTCATCATTTTCTTCTTAATACTACGAAAATACACCGATTTGTGAATTTCGACACATAAGCGCACAGGACGAACGCTGACTGAATACTAAAGTTAAGCTACGCCCACTGTGATGACGTCAGGACTTAATTAGAATTACAGTGCACCGTTGCTTAGGCCGTTTCTGTCTCCTCTTTGTATTTGCGCCGTGGTTTGCCCAGTACCACATATAACTTATATTTTCTGTTGGAATTACTTTTTCAACACCTTAGTCATAATAAAGAATAACAATTGTTTCATTTTTCCTATTTCAGATTTTTGTTGCGTCAAATAAATTCAGCTTCTTGGAGGACGCCGACGACGGTGGATCCGACTAACATTCGACAGAAGCTCATTGTACTCTTTATAACAGTGTCCATTTCACTGTGACTCAGTGTAAAGTGTAAATTTACGAGTATCGGGGTTATATAGTGTGACTGGACTTGATAAAGCACAAAGACGATCTGTTGAATGTGCTATGTAATAAGGACGCAATCAATCATTAGTGCGGTGTGATAAAAAGTGTAATTAGTGTTGCTATATATGCTCACACTGCTTCGAGGCCTGCCCCAGCCTTTATAGCTATTTCCATGAAAATATATCTAATATATAATATAAACATGACTGAATGTAACAACTGCTAGCATTCCTGTTCATTATACATAAATATTGTTCAAGTACTGTTTTGGAAATCGCCATGAAGGCTGGGGCTCGGAATTTGTGACCTGATTGTATGATGTAAATTTTTATATGGGCTTAATAAATGATAGTGATGTGAGAATGGTTGCAAAACAAAATGGCCGAGAGCAATAACTGCTGAATAATTTCCACAAATTTTTCTAAACAGGTTTTTTTTGGTATAGGTGCTGCTGTTCAATATATTTTTGTGAATAGTGATCATTCATTATCATTTGATCTAAATGTAGTTAGTATTATTGGACTTTGTTTTACAGCAAAATATGCCACAATAAGAAATCCAATTTCTTTATATTAGAATATGTCTATATTAAATATTTAGTCGACTTAGATTATTTTTAGAATAAAAATTGTATTATTTATCTTAACATTCGAAAATTGTTAAATAAACATCTGTTTCTACTATACATCCTACACACGTATTGTTGTTATGGTGTGCCTATCTGGGGCATTAAATACATATTAATGATGGAAATTAATGTATCTACCTAATTATTGAGGGTGAAGTTACAACATAAATTGTTCTAATTGATTTAATAACGACGTAATAACGTCAAATTTATTTCGTATTATCAAGATTTTTGTTTGGTACATTTGTCTCGTTGTGAATTATAAATAAATTACTTCTTTTACAGCCACATTGAATTGTTTCTTTTACGCTTTCAACATCATGTAGAATACTAATGTGAATGTGCTAAAAAGCTATTTCTTTTGTCTTCTGATGCTAGTGAGTAGGTACCTGTTTATACATGTCGAGTATTGTACAGATTTGAATAAATTTTGTGATCAACTTATAGGATGTAAATAGTCATCTGTGATGGATTCAAAGTTCTTTTGGCATAGAGCAAAAAAATTAGAAAAAGCGTCTGTATTCCAAAATCAATTTGTTCCTGATTAATAAAAGAACACATTTTATTAAAATTTATTCTTTAATCATTCCAAATTATCATAATTTATTTAAATATTTAGCAATACGAACGCCATATTGAGTTGGGCATAGGTCACTGTTTAACTGAAATCCTCTACCGACTCGAGTCCTTATTATAGGTCGCGTCACGTAAAAAGAACGGTGGCCTTGAACCTGCGCACTGAGCGATTTATCGATCAAATTTGTGGTACGAAGGGAGCGCGACGGGGGAATGCTCGCCAGTATTACTCATACTTCCCGCGCTTTGTTCGCTCCCAAAATACAGTCGCACACATAGCTTTCTTTGCACGACTCGCGACGATGGTTTTAAAAATGAAGGGAAAAAATATTTATATCTATTGTTTTATGACTGAACTAGTGAACGAAAAGGTAAATATGGTGGGAGAAGGTGAATGGGGAAAATTGTGCAGTAAAGTTAAAAGTATTGAGGAAGAAAACCGAAAAAATTACCATGTGGTCGACTTGATGACGGAAACGTTTATCATTCGCATTGTTGATGATGATTCTGATGACGGAAGCTCAAGCGAAGATGAAAGTGATGATGAAGTAGCATCCAGTAACACCAACACACCATCGATATCTGGCTTCCATGTGACCCAAGAGGATATAATGGACGGCGTGTCACCCTTAGATTAAGTTTTCTTGTTACAAACTACTTTATATTTTACGACAGAAATAAAAAATAATGCTCAAGTAAACATTATCCATTTTTAATTCCAACCTCTTCCATAGTTCTAAGTAACTAGTAAAGTACCTATTATGATTCAACAATTAATTACTATTATATTAATAAACAATAGCCTAGTACCATATAGTACTTAAGAACGCGACTGTACCCATGCGCAGACACACTCCCTCCACTGTCGGTCAGCGTTCTTTTTACGTGACGAGACCTGTACGAGGGTTCATTTTAAGTAGTCTAATCCCATATAAAGAAGAGCATTCCCCGTGGTAGATGCAAAGAGATGCAAGATCTCTTTGCACCTTCGCTGGATACGATCAAGTGGAAGGAGCTGAGATGAGGACGGTACAAAGATGAGAACAGTAATCCATGTGAGGTCTAACCTGTGCCTTGTGAAGTAGCAAGCGGCGTGCCGGCATGAAATACTGTCCCGCTGTACTATATAAGAACGCCAAGAATGCAATTTGGCCTTCCCTTCCAGATGGCCACAAAATTGAACGTCATTGGGTGGGTCCACATCGGACGCACGAACTCGTGCGGCATCCTCTGTGTGGTTCGCGAGGCAGCCTCAATAGTTTAGTTTACCCGAAATCACAGATGCGAGCCTCGCGAGAGCATCTAAAATAGGCAGTTATGTAATTTCTGCTGCAGCTACTTTCAAAGTAGCTATTAAATACCTTACGCAAAAATAGGAGTACATAGAAACACAGAAGTAAAAATGTTGTTAACATCAAATCAACGCATACTACGTTTCAACGCGGCGGATTGCATCTATTTTGGCAAACAAGTACGTACCTATAGTCACTCTACTCAATTAACACGCATATTTTAAGGAACAAACGAGAAACACTCTAATTATCATACCCGCTGTAGGATAACAGTAACGCCAAGAGACTTGCGCTGCGCGGTGACTGAGCGCAATTATTTTTGCCTTCTCTAATTGCTGCTCGCCTAGTATTTTACCGAACCAATATGGAAAATGATCGCAAGGTGCTTGAGTCTCAAATAAATATAATACCAAATACGATGTATTGGAGAGGTACATTTGCAAGACAAGTATTGAGATACGTAATGTTCCGAAAATAAAAGGTGAAATTAAGGAGACTTTATTTAAATGTAATACTCACCCTAATCACGAACTTAAGTGTAACTATAGAACAAAATAATCTTCGTGATGTATATCGTTTGCCAAGCAAGACTGATGCAACATCCTCTACAATCGTAGCGGAATTTGGAAATAGTCCACTAAAGAGTCAGGTCATTGATGCAGTAAAGCGTTATGTTAAAAAAAATCCTAAAGATTCACTTAATTGTTATCATATGGGAATTATGAACGTTGAATCACGAATTTACGTAAGTGAACATCTGACAACAAAGTCTAAAAAACTTTACTTCCTTGCAAGAGATATAGCCAAAACCACGGGTTACCTATATTGTTGGACGTCAAACGTCAATGTATACTTGCGCCGCAAAGATGGAGATCCACACATTCTCATAAAAAACGAAGCCCAGCTCTCCGAACTTAAAAATGCTAAATGACTAGATGTAAGGTTTGTTATAATATTACTTACACTAGAATGTTGTTATGCTAAATTAGTTAAGTTTAAGAAATTATACTCTAAGCTATATTTTTTAATAAACACATACATTTTTACATACACACTCCCACACATAACTCAAAATTATTTAATACACACCTCAACTTGTCCACTTAAGATCAAGCTTAATCAACAATCACAATTTACTTACTTACCTACAAAGCAAAAACCATGCAACACAAATTATATTATGTTTCATAGTTTTTACATTGTCATGAACTATAAAAAAAGAATATTGTATAAAATAACTTATTACAGTTTGATTATTTACATTTTAAGATCGAAAATAATTTATTTTGGATTTACTAATTATACGATGCTGTTTAAAACATTTAGCCATCCTAAGACTTATAGTATGACGCTGTTACAAACATTTTGTTACCATATAATAAATATATATAAAATTTACTAATATAAATGAAATATCGAATAACCTAGATGATATAATGAATTCGGAATTTTATATTTGCAATCCTGAAGATTTATGCCCTATAATAAGCCAACCTAATAACTACACAAACATTTTATGTCAGAATATTCGAAGTATTAAACGAAACTTTGATGGTCTGGCTGTGCTAATGAAAAGGATGAATATAGATTTTGATCTCGTTATACTGACTGAATGTTAGCTGTCCTGTTCTGGTCCTATACCTTTGTTAGAATCGTATTGTTCTCATGCCACCAAGCAAACTTTCAATCAGAACGACGGTGTGCTGATCTATATTATAGATAACTTGAAATGTACTGTTGAAGAGCCCCCTTTTCAAGAAGCTAACTGCTTAGTAATTAAATTTGGAACACATACAGTAGTAATAGGGATTTATCGTCCACACTGCTTTAAAAACGATGCAACCAATTTTTTTTTCATCTTTGAACCAACTTCTCACTGAACTAAAAGGCTTCAAAAATATTATTCTAATGGGCGACATCAATATTGATATTTCTCCTGACAATATGGACCAGCAAGCCGAACAATATCTTAATTTTATAGCATCACATGGACTTCTTCCTGCGTTTACATCATCCACCCGAATGTTCACATGTATTGATCACTTATTGCTCAAAACACGTCTACCCGCTAAATCATTTGTTATACAAACTTGTTTAACTGATCACGAAGCTGTAAGCCTTAGTCTTGAAATAAAACAAACTAGATGTTATTTTAACAAAATTATTAGAAAAGTTGATCATGTTGGACTTAAACAGTTTTTATTAGACGTTAATTTCGATCAAATGTATGGAAATAACAATCCTAAAGAAGTAGCAAATTTCTTAGGAAACTTTATCAAAAGCACTGGAAAACAACACTAAAAACATTAGATTGTCCCATCGTAAAACCACATTAAAACCATGGATAACTCCTGGAATCTTAAGGTGCATGAAAAATCGTGATAAACTACATAAGAAACTTAAATTAACACCTGATAATGAAACACTAAAAATAACATATTGTAGATACCGCAATTACTGTAATGATATTCTAAAAAAACTTAAAACACAGTATCAAAGCAGTGAACTTAAAAAAGCTGGCAATAACAGTAAAAAGATTTGGGAAGTAGTAAAAAGTGTAATACATCTGAATAAGCATAGACTACAGGCAAACGACTTGCTGGGAAAACACTCCACTCGGATAGAATCTGTTAATGAAGTTAATAAATATTATATTAACGTCGGTGCGAAATTAGCTAACAACATCCTAATAAGTAATTACAGTAAACCTGATATAAATCATACTACGAACAAATCATTTGTTATGCTAGATACTGATCACGATGAGATACATAATCTCATTATGTCATTAAAAAATAGTTGTACTACAGGATAGGACGGTATATCAAGAGACTTACTAAAGACCTACAGAGATATACTTGTTCCCCCGATAACATACCTGTGCAATATCTGTCTTTCTACTGGCATCTTTCCTCGTGCTTGTAAGAAAAGTATTATTCGCCCAATTTACAAAAGTGGTGACAGAGGCATTGTCTCCAATTACCGACCCATATCAATTTTAACATCCCTATCAAAAAGACTTGTTAACTACCTAGAAACAAACAAGGTTCTTTCGGAGCAACAGTATGGTTTTCGTGCAGGCAGGTCCACAGATGATGCGGTTCACGAGCTCACAGATCGTATAATTCGGGGAATGGATGACGGTAAAAAGTGCCTCGCAATATTCCTGGACTTAGCGAAAGCGTTCAACACTGTCTCTGTTCCGCTTCTAATAAATAAGCTTGAGAGACTAGGGGTCAGGAATTTGCAGCTAGATCTGTTTAAAAATTACCTTACAGGTAGCACACAGTATGTTCAAATTGGAGAGCACACCAGCGAGGAAGAAACAATAACGTACGGAATACCCCAAGGCAGTATATTGGGCCCGACCTTATTTTTGATTTACATCAATGATTTCTGTTCAATGAAGGTATCTAGTGGGAATATTCTGTCCTATGCGGATGATACAGCATTAGTTTTTAGCGGCGATAATTGGAAAGATACGTTTGCTTATGCACAATCTGGATTAAATAGAGTTCTTAAGTGGTTAAATGGGAATCTACTAACGATTAATATCAAAACAAAACCAAATTTGTTACATTTGCCATACGTAATGTCTCTCTCCCTTTAGATAAAAACCTTTCACTCATAGCCCATACATGCAATCTCGTAAATATATGTAGCTGTACCAGATTAGAAAATGTTACCAAAATTAAA